TGGTTGCAGGGACACAGCTAACCATCCTGTCTGTAACAGCTCAGGATGAATCATATAAATCCAGCCCACTAAACCCCAAAGTCAGGCGGGAAGCTTTCTCTGCTGCATAGCAACAACCTACCACAATGCTCATCAGCTTCTTTTTTCTTCCCCGCTCTAAAGTTGGTTTAATATCTACTTATCAAGTTGAAAATTCATTTTGGAACTATTTTCAGAGCAAATGTAAAGGCATCCGCTAGGATGTATTAGCCACATTACTTTTATCCAATGAAATAAATAAATCTCTTACCCTACAATAAACTTAGCATGTAGGAGGACAGGCAGCCTCTTAAATGGGCTCATTTGGATGAAACACACCAATGAGAGACACAAACGGCCAGGAGAGATGAATGGCCTAGCTTGGACCCTACCTAGAATGACTAGCTAAACTGAACCAGGATTTATTTTATTTTCTTCTGCTGAAACAAATTTACCTTTATTTCTTTTTAAAAATGCCCCTTATTTTTGAGATTATAATGTAATTACATCATTTTTCCCTTTCTTTTCCTCTCTCCAAGCTGCCTCCATACACCCCTTTGTGCTCTTTTTCAAATTCACAGCCTTATTTTTCATTAATTGTTATTATACACACATGCACACACACACACTTCTAAATATATAAGTACAACCTGCTCAGTTTGTATGTTTTTTGTATGTGTATTTTTAGGGAAGCAACCAACAATTCTACTCAAATATAACACATATGATGATGCCTATGGTGCTTACGAACCACAACAAAGACCACCATGGTACAGCAAACCTAAGGATGTGATGGTGGCATGCATACCTTGGTGGTAACCAACAGCTCTCTAAATGGACTTAAGGCCCACTCAAACAAAAGGGACATGTCTGGTACCAGAAGCCTAATTGACTACCCAGGGCTAATGAACTCAGGCATCTGAGAGGAGACCCTACAACCACCACTTTATTAAAGCAGCCTAATCTCTAATTAGCTTCTAAACATTTGTTCTTATGTCGTCACCTCTCATTGAGGAAACTTCTCTTTGCAACAGATGGAGACCATTATGGAAAACCATAACCAACCGAAATGCAGAATCGTGGAGCCTAGTCCCAATGAGCAAGGCTACAATAAATGCTGGTACCCAAGGTTCAGGGAACATTGCAGAAGAGGAGCTGGAATGGTTGTGAGGGCCACAGAAATGGAGGGTTTGCTGAAAGATGTGTCTCCTAGAAACACTGGAAGCTACACCATAAAGTCTCACCAACATAATTGCAGTAACATGAGCTGAACAGGATAACTATAGACTGTACCTGCAGAGACCAGAAAAGGGAGTTGGATTCTTCCTAGAACTGGAGTTACAGAGGGTTGTGAGCCACCATGTGAGTGCTGGGAATCAAGCATGTCCTCTAAAAAATAAAAAGCAGCTAGTGTTTGTAACTACTGATCCATCTTTCCATGATCCTCCTCAAGACTTAGTATGTGTCTCAGAAATGTTTGCTACCTACCAAAACCTAGATCATGGCCAGGTCCATCCCTGGAAAGTCAATCCATCATCTCTACTTGGACATCCCCAAGACATCCAAATCCACTGTACTCAAGTCAGAACTCATCCTTTACCTTCCTGCCTACGGATCATCGTCTCAGTTAAAGAGGTGGTTAGTCACTCAGCTACCCTGTCAGAAACCAGAGCATTAGTATCACCTCCTATCTGTCCCTCAACGCCTCTCTGCCTCTTCCAACTCTTGACCTTGTAAAGTCAGTTCTGCATAGATGTCCTCATAGCCATTCTTCCATACAGCCACCAGCCCCTGTTTTAACACGGCCCTTCTTCATTTATCCATATGACTCACCTCACAACCTCTTATGTGTTCTCACTCCATGTTCCTGCTCTCTCCAATCAGTCCTGCCTCAGCACAAGTCATAAATCCTCACCATATTGTCTCTTTCTTGATAATCCGTATCACTTCTCATATCTACTGCATGGAGTCCATGAGCCAGAGCAAAGTTTAGACCAGGCCCCTACCTTTCTTCAAACTTAAGTCTCCCTTTGCCTCTCCTCCAAATCCCATCAGAGGAGAAATCTCCCCAGAATAACACTCTGGTTCCCATCTCCTAACCTCTTCCTACACACTTCCCTCTCTCCCATCTCTCAACTCTTCTTCCTCTTCATTTTATAATGCTGGGAATCAAGCCCAGGGCCTTGTGTAGTAATCTACCACTGGATTACATATCCAGTCCTTGTCTCCTAGCTTCTGCTTGTGTTGCTCCTACTGGCTGGAATGCTCATCTGCCTTTTTGTCCTGAAAAAATATATATTTATGTGGCTGCCCCTCCTCCATATAACCTGTACTAAATTCCATCCCTGGGTCTCCTGGACATACTGGTATTAAGTCATCTTTACCCTGTTAATAGAAAACCTCAGATGCCAAGAACTAATACTCTAATAGTGATGGTTCCTGGTGTGTGCTAGTTAGTTTTATGTCAACTTGACACCGGCTAGAGTTCTCTGAAAAGAGAGAATCTCAGCTAAGAAAAATGCCTCTACAAGATCTGGCTGCAGGGCATTTTCTTAACTAGTGATTGATGGAGGTGACCCCAACCCATTGTGTGTGGTCTCTTCCCTGGGCCAGTGGTACTGGGTTCTATAAGAAAGCAAGTTGAGCAAGCCATAAGGAACAAGCCAGTAAGCAGCACCCCTCCATGGCCTCTGTATCAGCTCCTGCCTCCAGGTTCCTGTCCTATTTGAGTTTCTGCCCTGGCTTCCTTCAGTGGTAGACTGCAATGTAGACATGTAAGCTAAATAAACCTTTTCCTTCTCAACCTGCTTTTGGTCCTGGTATTTCATCATAGCAATAGAAACTCTAAGATATGGTGAATGCTGAGAACGTGATGAATACTTCTTCAGTGTATGGACATCACCATGACAGCCTTCTAAACATGGTTTCAAACTATCTTCTTTAGAGCTCATATACTTACTTCTCTTTCTGATGTTTATGATGTGAAGTGCCTCTTAGCCTACTTGTAAATCACTTGCAAAAGATTAACTAAATAAACCAGTATAGGAGATAAACCACCTCTTATCTCCTGAGAAATCAATTCTTTGTTCTTTACTCTCTAGAGAAGAATTCATGCTTCCAGGAATTCCAACTACTGATAGTGAGACACTATCAAAACACGCTACTCCAAAGCCATAGTCCTCCCTGCTTTTAAATAGCCTGTCTGGGTAATTATTAGCGAGGAACTGGGTGGAGATACTGATTAAACCAGAATTTAATGCTTTTATTCATGGTATAAACCATAGCTTATAAAGTCTCTACCTGTGCTCACAGCCCATGTGGACGGAAAGGAACTCCAACAATACATATGGATGACCTGAGCTCTTTTATTTCTAAGCCCAGATAACCTCTGGGGCCAAAGTGAAATCTTTAGAAAGAAAGTTCCATTTACAATGTCAGCTGTCTGCAACCCATCTACAACTTCATATCGCCAGTGACAAATTTCTTCCTCAAACATTGATTTCATGTTGGGAAAAAAAAGGCCATTTCAATAAATGTTTCGTTAACAAAGCATTTTCCTGCCTGACGTAGATACTCTTAATTTGTTTTCCCAGACTCTCTTCCATTTCCTGCAATCCTCTGCAGGACAACCTGAAACTCTCTAGATTTTAACAGACACCCCAGAGAACATGGAAACCAATTCAACAACTGAAGGAAAACAAGTCCCCACCCAAAAGAGCCATGGAAGCCCGCTTGTTCTGGAACACCAATACAAAGTCTCTGCTCTTCTCTTAATCACTCAAGGTCAGAACAGGACAGACTGTTTTGACCACCTCAGTGGTGCTGGGTCAGATGTCTGGTGGCAAAGCACTGCTCCGTGTCACTAAAGGTCCCAGAAGAAATGAAGTGAAAATTTATGCAGGAAGGATGTACGGTAGGTGGTGGTTTCTTTCTGGCCCCTAAAAGGCTTGTTCCCATTCCATTTTGTTTATCTGTACTGGGTTTCTTGCTATGTCCTGATTCCAAACCCCAAAAATTTCAAGGACATTTTGAGCATCTTTTATTAATAGCAACTCACAAAAATTTTCTAGATGGGTGCCAAACGTATAAAAACAGGTGCCATATAAGGTTTGTTCTCTCAAATTTCCTGAGATATGGTGCAAAGATTTAATCCTAACACTGTGGGGAGCATGGTGAGGACCAATCTTACAGGAAGATAGTGTATGTTGGAGTTGTGGGGAAGGGTCATGTCACAACAGAATGAATGTATTTGGCACAGTACTGAAGGAGAGTATTTTGATTCAGTCTATTACACATAGAAAGGGAGAGGGGAATCAATAAAGAAGTGAAGTTTTTTGGAAACTCCGGGGTTCCCACTGCCATGTGGGTGGCAGAGAAAGGGGTGAGGTCACAAAGTACAGAAATGACGTTGGAGGAATTGAGATTCCGAGCTCCAGCACATGTGATATATACATATGGGGGTTTCCAGCTTTGCGTCCTGATAAAAAATAAAGCAATACCACTGGCAATAACAATACTCTAGCATTTGTAGCAGGACAACAGGAACTACCATAAAGTGGTCCAGAGTAAGTAAGCACTTCACATATACACTCAGTAAACACTATCTCACTAATTCTCACACCGTGCTACGAAACGGTCTGAGCTCTACTTCATAAGGGAGACTGGGGGCTCAGGAATCAGCCCGCATCACTAAGCTATGGCGAACGATGGAGTCTCTGTTTGAAATCACAGCCCGCAACTGTGCTCTTTGGAAAGGACACCCTGCAATGACTGCTAGATGTTCTAAGACATCAGCACTGGAGGAGGACAGCTTCCAAGTGCCACATGAGTACCAGCTGTCATCTGCAGGATCCACCCTTTTCTGCATACTGTAGCCAGTGACTTCTCTGAGTCCTGGGAAGGCAGCCTTGGGGCAGGCCTCATCCTTCCACCGGAGGATGCTCAGGGAAGATGGGGAGGAGAGACTGGTCTCTGGCACTTACTTTCTGAGCACAGCAATCTCATTCTCGATGCTGCTCTCCTTGCCCTTCAGCGCCTTCTTCGGGATGCACTTTACTGCAAAGAGCTTCCCAGTCGCTTTCTCTTCAGCTAAAACAACTTCAGAAAAGGCCCCACTGTAGACAAAGAGGGAGAAAAAGAAAGGTTAGGGTAAGAGGTTCTGATTGCACAAAGGCCCCTCTGATCCCAACAGAGTAACAAGGAACAAGGCCACAGTGACCATATCGCTTTGTGTGTCAAGAAAGGCTACTTCCCAATTGTTCTTAGAAGAAGAAAACATATGGACAAGTGTGATCCAGTGCAAAGAGATGGCAGATGTCAACACAGGCCCATAGAGACAATGGAGGTTGCCATGGGTTGGCCACTTTGAAGTGTCTCTTGTCACCCTGCTATACAATATGGTTGGGTTAGGGTCCCTTGGTATATAACAAAAACCTTCCCTAAAGAGGTTCCCCAGCAAAGGAAAAAATGGTGCCCACTAGCATGACCATGTAGACCAGAAAATTATAGATACTAAAATTCCCCAATTTCCTATAGACTCTTTCACTCAAAGAGTTTTCCAGGGTGCCTCACAAACACTGAATTAATTCTTGCAGATAGGTAAGGATATAAAGTGTGAGCTGGCACCTCATGAGGGGCTGACATGGAGCAAGAAGACAAGCAGATGGTTCCCTGGAGCTGCTGACCGGACCGGCTAGCCAAGAGAGAGACCCTATCTTAAAGATGAGAGACCCTGTTTCTATAAGACGGAGAGCAAACCAAGAGGACCCCTGACATCAACCTCAAGACTCCACAGGCAAGTACACACACTCACACATGCACATGTAGACATATACACTAGACATGACCACACATATGATAGGTACACTACACACACAAAGAGAGACAGATTTGGAGAGAGAGGATTTTTTTTTTTTGCCATAATCATAGCAGCACTCCACACAATAGCCATGAGATTTAAAAGAGAAATTAAGTGATGGATTAATATGTACGTGTATCCGTACATATGACAGAGCATCAGTTATCTCTTCAGGGAAACTGGTACATGGTCCAGTACAGATGAACCTTGAAGACGTGTGCTAAAGAAAGATACTAGTCATGGAAAGGCAATACTATGTGGAGGAGGGGATAGCAGGAAGTGACTCTAATTGGAACATAGTAGAGTAAATGAAAAGGCTCCAGAAGCAGATGGTGGTTACACAACAATGTGTTAACGCTTAGGCCATAGAACCCCACGCCCAAAGCAGTTAAAATGATAAGGTTTATGGCATGCCTATTTTAGCACAATAAAAAATAAAGGGGAATTTCTGTACAGGTTTACTCAATAGCATAGCTTCACATGAGACTATGGTGAAATGTGATACATCTTTCACTTGTTACCTTCCAAAAGAAGAGGGGGATTATAGGAAAACTGCAGGATCCCAGATGGTGTGGACCGCATCTAGTCCTTGGTCCACTCTGAAGATACAGTACACAAGAAGTTACTGTCAACATCTTTAAGAGACCAGGGCATCAAGTTCTGAGCACAGCACAGCGGCATGTTAGAATGGAAGATCAGGCATGCTCCTCAATCCTCTGAGCTTTCATTTTTATCTTTGTGTGTGTGTGTGCGTGCGTGCGTGCGTGCGTGTGCGTGCGTGTGTGTGTGTGTGTGTGTGTATGCATGCGTGCACGCAGGCGCGAATGTCTGTATGTGTGTATCTGTATGTGTGCCTGTGTGTCTGTGTGTATGTGCCTTTCTGTGTCCAAGTGTCCATAAACCTGTGGGCACACATTCCTGCGTATGTAGCCCAAAGGATAACTTCCAATATCATTCCTCAGGTGCTGTCCACCTAGCGTTTAGTGTCAGGGTCCCTTCATTAGCCTGGAAAGGGCCCTGTGGGCAATACTGGTTGGCCACCTATCTCTGCCTCCCAACACTGGGGATATAAGTGCATGCCACCACACCTATTTTTTTTCACATGTACTCAGGTCCCTAAGCACTTTGCTAACCAAGTCATCTTCTCCACTGGCTCTGAGGTCTTCCTCAGTACTCTACAGGAGTTCATCTTACTGCTAGGGAAGCCTGCCTCTGTCACTGAAGCTGACAGTGCAGAAGGAACAGTGTTGCTAGGGGAACTGCCCTCACTCCTGAGGTTCAGCACCCAAAACCACTTCCTCATTTACCCAGACAACGTGTATAAATCTATCTTCCTTCAGCTTTCCAAAGGTGATGCTTTCTGAACTTAGAGGCTAAAAGGTTAGCACAAGGAAGCTAATTAAAAACATCAAAAACAAAACTAGTGAATGAACCATCCAACCACTTTCGATGTAATTACACAACACATCTGGGGGAGCAGGAGCTTGTGGTGGCAAGGGGAAAGATCTGAGAGCCTGGTGGGCCTTCGGACAGCCCAAGAAACAAAGTCCAAGAGAGGAGAGTGGGGATAAAGAGTACTGTCCACCTGCCTGCAGTTCGTGGACGTAAGCAGTATGTGTTCCAAACTAGGTGGCACAACGCTATCCGAGGCATGTATGTCCAGCGGACAGCAGCCTGTGATACCAGCGTGTCTGAAGGACAAGACAGGCCCTTGTCCCTACAACCTGACTGTTCCCTTCATCTCCACTCAAGGGACACTGGGATGGACATGTGTCCACATCTGCTCAAGAAAGTTAACATGGTGGGTTTTGACGAGAGAAAATATTAGACATGAGTTTATGGCATATGCCTCCGCAGGGTTATGTGAGTAAAAACTAACAGGAAAAGGTGGGTTATTATACAGACATAAATGAGTCAGAAATGCACAACGATAGGAGAAAGGACAATTCCAGTTCTCTGAAAAATTACACATTTCCAAGCTGTGACAAGAAACACAAAACAAAAGGAAAACAAACAAAAAATATTATTTGAATTATAAAAAGGGAATCATTACTAAAAAACAAGCAAACAAAAACAAAAAAAACCTAAAACCAAGTCCTCACTGAAATTGAATGTCTATGGCAAGTTACAGAAAAGTCAAACGAGTTATCCTTGAGATTTGAAGGATCTTCTCCAGCTGGAGAGAAACTGCATAAACTGCAGAAGTTGACCCCTCCTTCCCTGCTGTTCTTCCAAAGAAAATCAGATCATCACCTGGAGGCAGCCTGCTTGGATTCTGAGTCGGGTACCATCTTTGGAGAGCAAGAGTTTCAAGACTTGAGGCAAATGTCATGAGAGTGAAGAATTTTAAATGACTGCTTAAGTTTTTAACTTCATAAATGATGGCTTTAAAACAGGCCCTCTTGATTTGCTTTAATAAGGCTCAAGAACGAGTCCTGGTATAGATGGCTGCACCCAGTCCACCTAGGATACACATTCAGGCCACGTAAAGGGCAATGATCCAACATCCGGATGACCAATGAGAGGGCAAGTGGCCTGGGCTCTAGGAAATGCCTCATCTTTTGGCACTCCTCAGAATACGCCACCCTGAGGACACCTAGGCTACTACCTGGCATTAAAGGTTTGTGAACCATGGTTGCCATGTACTACCCTAGATGTGAAAAGACAGAACCATTCAGAGCATCCTAATTCAGATCCATGTCTTCTATTGAGACCAGAATTCAGAGCTGAGGCTAGCAAATCCTGGCTTTGCTTCCTAAACCACCCATTTACTAACAACTGTTACCATTAGAGCAGAGGGTGAGCACAGTAATGTACGGCTGTAGTTCTAGCTCTTCAGAAAACGAAGGCAAGAGGGCACCTTGAACCTAAGAGCTGTGAGGACAGCCTAGGGAACAAAACAAGACTGTTTCTTAAGAAGAAAGTGAGAGGAGTCAGCAAGATGGCTTCTCTTAGGGTACTTATCACCAAGACAGACAGACAGCCTCTGGTCAATCCCTGAAACTCACTCCTGTAGAAGAAAAGAATCAATTACCTCAGGTTCTCCTCTTACTGAAATTCACATATTTATCACACGCACAAACACACACAGTCATATACACACACAGACACACACACACAAATGGACATGCATATACAAATGCACACACAGGCATACACAGAGACATAAATGCATAACTTTTTTTTAAAAAAAAAAAAGTAAACAAAAAATAAAATCAGAGACTAGAACCTTAGGGCTTCTGGCTTCTGCCTTCTCGTTTGCTAACAGTCTTTAACCCGAAATTAAGAAAAAAAATATCAAATGGTCTCTAAGAGGACAGTGCACAGAGCTGGTTGCTCCAGAATATGCATCACTTAAACACAAAGTCTTTTCTCATATAAGAACAATTTAATCACAACATAGACAAGACTTCAGCCTCCAATCTGCTGTAGCTTTCAGCATTTGGATGCTCACTGAACTGGTGAACACACTATCTTTTGGGGCTGAGCAAAGAGGTTAGTTAGTAATATGTTCGATGTACAACCCTAAGAACGTAGGCTTAGATTCCACCACCCACTTAACTGCCCGGTGCAGCGGTTTGCACCTGCAGACCCAGCACTGAGAAGGCAGAGGTTCAGGTGGATCCCTGGAGTTCACTGGCCAGAAGACCTGGTCTACTTGGTGAGCTCCAGGCTACTGAGACTTTGTTTAATAAAAAACAAGGCACATAGCTTCTAAGGGATGACACTAGAAGTTGTTGTCTAGCCTGTACTTGCATCCATATATACACACACGTGTGCATAAACACACATACACACAGAGAGACAGAGTGTGTGTGTGTGTAGGTGTGTGTGTGTGTGTGTGTGTGTGAGAGAGAGAGAGAGAGAGAGAGAGAGAGAGAGAGAGAGAGAGATGGAATGACTTTCAGAAAGAATCGGGAGCTATCTTTTTGATTCATGACAGTACGCTAAACCAACCATTTGGTAAAATTATATTCATCCCAAATTAGACCAAGAATAATCAGATGCAGGGATGGTTGGCCCTATTAGCTGAGAGTCAGCTATTATTGGCTCATTGGCTTTTCGTGCTTTTTAGTTGTTCTACATATGAATCAGATTGATTGTGTTATTAACTTTATTAACGGCATTGCTTCCAGCTACCGTCATCACACCCCGCAACTGGGCCTTCTAGCATTACTCCAGGCCCTCGCCATCAATCAAAACGCTTTTCTCCACCCAGCTCACTGTTGTCCCTGGTGGAGGGCCAGGAGAATATGT